GGATGATTATTTTGTCTGTTTGGTCGTGTAGAAACAGAAACTCTTTGGGTTAGAAAATTTGGGACAGATTCAGTTTTACTTGATGGAAGTAAACTCTGTACAATCCTTTAGTTTTACCGATTTAAATGTTCGAACTTTTACGTTGGTTCAATGGAGGACTAGTTTGCATTCCCAACATGTTAATATGAACAGAACATTCTTAATTCTTATCAAGTGTCATATTCAGTTTCTTCTTAGAATATTGCTGGCAAATTCCAAGAAATACTTGGGTCAAATTACAACTTGAGCTCCTATACTTTCAGAGTTTTATCTAATAGGCCCTTAAACTCTTAATGTTATGTCAAATAGATCATTAAACTTTAAAAATGTCTAATGTGTCCTTGAATTTCTTTATTTTGTGTCTAATAAACCTCTATCCTATTAGATATTTTCTAAACTTTACGGACTTATTAGACACAAAATTGAAAAGTCAATGTATTTGGTAGGACCGTGAAATGTTGAATAGGTCAATGGTTATTTGACACAAAATTCAAAGTTGAGGAACTTATAGACACAACCTTGAAAGTTTAGGGACTAAACTTGTAATTTAACAAAATACGTTTTCTTTCTAATAAGAGTTGCTGTATGAATTTATTCCACTTAGTGCTTGTATTGAATGAGTTTTGTTGGATTACCTTGCATTCAACTCTAATGGTGATGATCGATCACAATTGACGAGTTTCTCTTCACTTGCTTGCAATCATTATCGCAAATTCAAAACAAGTTCATTTGTAATCGTTTGCAGATGCTTTCTCATGCCAAGTTCTAGCTCATTTTGCTAGCCTGACAAGTCCTACAATTTCTCTCTTTAGGTTCTGCTTTCCAGGCTCAGAACAACCCCTCCACAATTAAGGACATTGGTTACTATGCACTTTCGGGTTCCGATGTGCCAGCACCACCCCAAAACACTGCCGTGGGAGGCAAAGCATCACTCCTGCCAAAGCGTACGCCTGTCTCGGACCGAGAGATAGAGGCCATATTGGTAAGCAAACTAGTCTGTCTTATGTCGATATGATTCCTGAATTTACAAATCTTATGACATCAGTTAACACTGCAAGATCCATTTGAATTCAAATGCGAACAGCAGGTTCGAAATATTTGATGTTTGTTCTGATATGTTGGTTCTGACTCTAACATGCATAAACACAAAGGCAATTACTGTACTTTAAAGCATTTGAGCTTTTAAAACCCATGATTTCTCTGTTTGCTTTGTTTTGTAACAATGCAGTTGGGTGGATGCTTTTGATCTTTTCCATCAGATGTCGTGGAAAGAAAGCGTAGTGATCGTTCGATATCTGGGTCGGTTTAGTTGTTAGCCAAAGACATTGACCCATACATTTGTGGCAAACTTTTGCATTCACCTAGAAAGTTATCAGAATCGTCTCGATGTAGATTCTATTCTTGTATGGAACTGTTAAATCACCCGCCCCGGGTCGGGTGGAGAACAAAACGGCCATTTCGTTGCTCGAAACTCCGAGCAGACATTTTCGACCTTCTTTCTTGTCTCCTTTTCATAATTTATCCATGGAAGATTTCTTAAGCTACAACAATGAGTGATTCTCTACATGAAATATGAAATGAAAAATGGTGTGATATTTAATCACTAATATTGGGAGGTGCACAAGTTGTGGCAGAAGTTAATGCATTTGCAGGTACTGTCCTCTCTGTGTGTGGTCTGTAAGGACTTGCTCAATGGTTTAAGGTCTCGTGGGATAGCGTCTTGTTTCTCGTTTCTTATTTTTCCGTTTCTCATTTTCTTTATTTTCTTTATTAAGGGAAATATATATGCATGCATTCTAAAATAGTTTTAGAAAAATAGAGCTGAAATGATCCATGGAATATGAGTTTTGTAGTTTAAAATATACTTGTTTTAATCCATGTAACAAAAGTGAGCATAAAGTAACTTTCTCCCTTCTAAAAGTTGAAACAAATCAAATCACCGTGGTTCAGAACACATTTCAACTATTAAATTAACCGAGGATATAGCTCATAAAATTAATGGGCACTTTAATATCATTCAAAGGATTGATTGGTTGGATGACTCACTCTTGCAATAATTTAACTAAAACAAAAAACTAATTAAAGTAACTGGTTAAAAATTCATTTACTATTAAACTGATTTGTTCTTACTTTAATAATGCAAAGCAAATACGGACCCTCTTCGTTACATGATTTCTTTTATGTTCTATCAAATAGTTGTTTCTTTTACAACAATTTGGGATATGAGGATCAAATCTTCGACCTCAAACGAAGGAGTATATGTCAATTACTGTGAACTATGCTCAATTAGTTGTATACTTTTTTTGGGGGTATTTTAAGATTAGTACACGGAATAGCAAAACATTAAAAAAAAACCACCACACGACACAACCTGCTGTAAAAATTCTGGAGGCATTCAAACCGAGCCTAACTCAAGTGGTTAAGACATTTATTTCTGACCAAAAGGTCATGAATTCAAACTCCCACCCCACATGTTGTACTATATATCTATTCTGGAGGCATTGGCGATTTTGGAAGAACTGAATCAATCTCGGAACATGGTTGCCTACCCGATTTGGTCGGGTGGAATCAGATTCTTTAGAAGTAATATCTTTGCTATATAATGAAAACGAAGACTTCGCATAAAATTACGTAGGTGGTAAATGAAATCCTGTGTATGCAAGAAATATTTGAACATTTTGTCTTTTGTTAAGGTGGATAGAACAACAAATGTATGTGCTCATTTCATTGCAAAAAGAGCTTGCAATTTACGAGAAAATGGTATTTGGGATGTAACTATTTCTGATTGGCTTTATGGTTTGGTAAGCAGGACCGTTGGTTGCTTAATGAATTTTTTTTTTTTCAAACAAAAATTAAAAAGAAACCACCACTAAAAAACAATTATGACTACTATAATAAAATCAAAATACCGAGATTAGTAAATTATATATCAACAATATAGTTAATTAATTACTGTCAATTCCAACATAGGGGAATAAAATCTCAATTACTTTTCTTGAGSTCAAAGTTTAATCTTGTATATACTGTGAGTCAACATGAACCAGTAATTGACATTTACACATTTATTTGAGGTTAGAAATTTGACCTCTCGTAGCTCAAATTTGTAGATTTGAACAAATAAGAACCCTATTTTCAAGATTTATCATTCATGTAGATGTATAAGGTAAAATAAATACCCAATGAGAAAATGAGAGTTTTTAATAGTTTGAATCCAACCTTCTAAGTCTATAATGTCTTGAAGTAAGATTAATCTTTCTTCTTCGTGTTTSTGCAGTATTTTTTATTTTTATTTTTTTGTGTCCAAACGGTGAGATTCATCTTTTTCTTGCAATATAATTTATCTTCGAAAAAAAAAACATGACCTCACTTTGTTCAAATGAGATATGCATAAAGCTCCTGACAATCTTTGTGGTAGTTGACGATGTAGCAAAGTTTCTAATAGACTAATAATGAATAATTAACCTGAGCTTAGCTCAACTGGTTAAGACATATATCGTCAACTAAAATATCATGTGTTTGAACTTTCATCTCATATGTTATCGTATTAACATAAGTATAACTCAGCGATTATTCAACAGATGCGCCGTTAACTATACTATTCAATAAATTTAGCATAATTTAGATAAATACTACAAAAATAGTATAAATAAGAATATGTAAATTAGTGGTTAGGGTTAATCAATAATAATCTAATAAGTGATTATTATGAATTATAACTACATAATATATAAGGATGGTTCGATAATTTTTTTTTCTTGTTTTCAGTTTTTGGAAAATGCTAATATTTGATAATTATTTATCATTTCTCATTTTCAATAAATATTACCAGTATTGTATATAAATTTTAGAAATAACAAAAATTAATTTCTGATTTTCATTTTTTGTTTTTCGAACACATAAATAATTTATAAAATAACATTATTTTATCATATCATTCCTTAAAAATTCATAAAAAAAAGGCTAAAAGATTAAATACAACATAAAATTTTTGTATATTTTATTATACAAATTAATATCATATAAAATTTTTATTTTTAATTTTAATATCCGTGGGAACAAAAAATTGGAAAATGTTAGCCGAAGATATTTTAGTTTATTTTTTTAATAAAAAGGAAACAACCAAAAAAGCTACCAAACATGCTTCTTTTTTTCTTCCTTAAAAGAATAAATGGGAACCTTGCCCAAATCCAGTTTTTTTTAAGCCAAACAAAAAAACAAAACAAAAAAAAAAACAAAACAAAACAAAAAATAAAAAACAGAAAAACAAAAACCATAAACAAAAAAGAAAAAACTAAATGAGAATATTTCTATATAGACCCTAAATGAATAWTCAATGCAGTATACTTTTTAGTTAAATTATAAATGTTGTCCTCTATAGTTTGAGAATATTTTTTTAAAATTATAAAGATGGAATTGAAAATTTTTAAATTAAGTTTTTTTTATTAGGTTAAAAAACACTCTTAATCCCTGTACTTTCGCTAAAGTAACAATATAGTCCATGAACTTTAGTTCGTAACGATTTAGTATTTGTATTTTCAAATTGGTAACAATTTAGTTTTTGAACTTTAATGTAACAACTTAGTTATTGTAATTTAAATTTGATAACGATTTAGTCAATATTGTGATTTTTTTTTGTTAAGTTTCTTGTTGTATGTATAGATTGATAAACTAAAGATGGACCAAATATGTTTATGAATTAGAGAGATAAAATCGTTATAGGATAAAATTTGACACTTAATTTTAATAAAAAATTTTACGATAGAGACTAAATTATTACAAATTTTAAATTACAGGGACTAAATTGTTACTAATTAATGTTAAGGCCGGGACTAAAATGTTACTTCAGTGAAAATACATGGACTAAATTATTACAAATTTTAAACTACATACACTAAATCGTTACAAATTAATGTTAAGGGACTAAATTGTTACTTTAGGAAAAGTTACCAAATATATTTTTTAACATTTTTGTTATTATTTTTGTAAGTTTAGCAACATGTGGAGTTACAAATTGAAACATTTACCTTTCTATCAAAATAGAGCTGTAACCTTAGGTATTTCAAAYGAAAACTATTTTGAAATTACAAATCAACTAAAATAATATATATTTTTTAATACAACAACATATGAGAGTGAAGATTCGAATTCCGAACATTTTAATTGAAAATATATACCTAAATTAACGCATTGAGCTATGTTATAATAACTATTTTTTAAAAAGTTCAGGAACATGTGAAGTTGAAATTCAAACGGTTACATTTTAATCAATAAATGATAAATCTTATGTTAATTATAAATTGAAACTCATGAAATTATAAATCGATTCAAATAAAAATAACGACTATAACACGTGGGAATGAAAAYTAGAATTCACGTTCTTTTTTATCAGAAATATATGGTTTAATTCAAGGGATAATGGCAGGAGAGTAATTAGAATGAATCACGTGGACCAAATTATCCGCTCGCTAGTCCTCTCCGGGTCTCGTCTCAGACTCAGACTCAGACATAACCCAAATCCAATACTAATTACTCCCCCACCAACTGCTCGCTTTTTTCCTCTCTTCTCCGCCGTCATCCGCCCCTTGCCCTACCTCCGGCCGCCGCCTCCTCCGAGATCCACTCCTCTACGCCTTCCCTTTCTCTTTTCTTCTCTTTCCTTCTGCATTTCGTCTTCGCCGGGTTATCTCTGCTGTTTCACTCTCAATCCCTGATTCGGCTGTTCTTTCTTTTTTCCTTTTACTGTGGGTAATGCGTTGCTGTTAGGGTTTTGATTGCGCAGTTGAGTGGGGGATACCGCTGGAAGATTTGAAATTTAGGGTTTTTTCGGGGGGGAAAAATTTGACTTGGGGTTCTTTTGGTGTTTGTTGGGATTTCGAATTAGGGTTTTCAGTGTGATTCAATATGCCGAGGGGTTCGAGGCACAAATCTACTAGGCATGGTTTGAAGGATGCTAGGGACTCCTCCGACTCGGAGAATGATTCAAGCCTGAGGGATCGGAAGGGCAAAGAGAGTGGGAGTAGGGTATTCAAGGACTCGGCCTCTAGTGAGAAACGCAGATTCGATTCAAAGGATGCAAAAGACTTCTACGCTTCGGAGAATCTCGAGACGGAAGAGCATGGACATTCCAAGCGGCGCAAGGAAAGGTATGATGAGGGAACCACTGATAGGTGGAATGGGGGAAGCGACGATGAGCTTGGTGTTCCTTCTAAAAAGTCAAAACCATCGGTGGATTCAAAGAGCAAGAGAAGGGACGAGAGTGTGGGATTGCTGCAGTGTGATGGTGAAGAACTCAGGAAGAGTAGTGGTAAGGGTGAGGGAAGGCATCGGGAGTCCAGCCGGAAGGAGGGCAGGAATGGTGGAGGGGATAGGGATAGGGATAGGGAGAGGGAGAGGGAGAAGGAGAAGGAGAAGGAAAGGAAAGGAAGAGAAGGGAGAAGTGACAGAAGTGAAGAACACCGTGTAGAAAAGCAAGTGGAAAAGAACACAGGTCAGGCATCGAATCACCAGTTAACTCTATCATCACAGTCGCAACTCATGTATCCATTTCTCTTCCCAACTTAAGCATCCATGCGTTTTTCCATTGAACATGCTCTTTATCTTTACTGATTAGCATTCACGATTCTTTAAGTCTCGCTTCTGGGTATAAAGGGTTGATTTGTTTGCTGACGCTGGTTTTGTAGTGTTCTCTGTTGGTTCCATAATTTACTGATATGGTTGTACTTTTGTTTTTAGGCTGCCATATTTTAGGCTTTACATGCTCATTATTTTTTGGGTACTTAGGATACTATGATGGTAACCTCCTCGACCCCTTACGGGGTGGTCTTACACCCCGTCCCCTAGATTTCTGTACGTGGTGTGGAGTTAAAAAGGATGGTAGGATTACAGTAAGATCTTCTCATTTGCTGATTTGGTGAAGTATGAATGTAAAAGTCTCCTGAGTGTGTGCTTTGGTGAGATTCTGCTGTGAAGACTATCATACCATTGTTTAAACTTCGAGGAGGAGTTACGGAAGGACAACCAACCCTCTGGCCGCCTCTGCATTCCCATGGGAAAGAAGAGTTTTGTCTGTCGTGAATGGTTTAAAGGCACACCTTGGGTTGCTTTTCCTTCTTGCAGGAAACTTCACATAGAAAACCAAGCTCTGTCTGTTTGAGTCCTGCACCCAAAGAGTGTCTTCTCCCTGTCAAGTTCTAGGGAGTGAGTAGGTCAGCAAAATAATCTACCACCCATACTGCAAGCACTACCAAGGGAATTTGGATCTGTATGATTTACTCCTCTCCTCTAGCTCGACAATCTTACCCCTTCTTTCACAACTACTTTAGAGCCAAAGGTTGTGTGTTCAATCCTACAAAAATACAAAGGAATTTCCCTACCCTCCCTTTCGTAAGTCATCATGAAAGCTTCTCTTAGTATACAGCTTTTCTGCCTACAATCGTGTCATTGTTAATGGCACCATATATTTCAGGTTTTGACATACCTTATGCCAGCACACATAATGGTTTGATTGATTAACGGTGACTTTTGAGTTAATTTTAAGTGGGGATATAAGTTTCTAGATTTTATTCTATTTCTTCTTATGTCTCAATTTTCTAATGTAATGTATAATGTACAGCTTAAGAGTCTAAATTCTATTTCTCCTTTTAACTATGTTTTCAATTTCTATTTCCTTGCATTTCATTGGGGCTGTAGAATTCTGATTTTGTTTGATCAATGTTCAATTTTGTCACTTTACAAACTGATCAATATTCATCATATTTGAGCTGTGTATGTTCCTGATTTGCTAAATTGGTTAGTCTTAGGGATTGGATTATACTTGGTTTCGAAGAAGTATTGTTATTTTTTTTTTTAATTTCAATTTGTACTAATGTGCTTTAATTTTGTGCAAAATTCGGATCTGAAGGATTAATTAATTGCATTTTCTTCTACAGCTTTGCCTACTTTCCATATATCAGGATAACCAATTATTACCCTCTTTCTCTCATGCACATATTCCTGCACTAGGATATAGGTGAAAAAGTTTTATTTATCAGGTTTTGTGTTAGCCGGAGCTGATTGTGCCTGTTTGGTATCATTTGCTTATGGTATCGATGGATTGTTTGGGGCTCTATTGGAAATATTATTTTCCTTTTGGAATCTAATTCGTTTTGGTCAAAGAAATCTAATTTTATTTGAAAAAARTTATCATTTGCATTATTTAACATTATGATACTCTGGCTCCTAGGCAACTTGGAGTCACATGTCATGCTAAATATCTCCTATCAAGCTGTTCATCTTTTATTTGTTCTTTTTTCTAAAATTTAGTTGAAATATTACCCTTAAAAAGTAATCTCGTATGAATTTGGTATTATTTGTTTACATTTTTTGAAATGCTCTATTTTTAGTGCTGGTTTTCATACTTAGGAGAAGTCTTAACTATTCTTTTTATACTTCTTCCCATGGTCTATATCTTCTTTGATACCATTGTATCATTAACTGAGCATTAGTTTACAACTTATTATCATTTTATGGAAACTTGTGTAAACCATCTAAGTTGTGACGTGTTGCACCTTAAATGCAGATAATGTGTTGCAGAGCCCTGGACTAGAGAATCACCTGGAGACACGAGTTAGGAAGAGAGCTGGTTCTTTTGATGGGGATAAGCATAAAGATGATATAGGAGATGCTGAAAATAGACAGATTTCTTCAAAGAATGATGCTGTGAAGGATGGTAGACGAAAGAGTGAGAAGCACAAGGATGAGAGAAATAGGGAGAAGTACCGGGAAGATGCTGATAGGGATGGCAAGCAAAGAGATGAGCAACTTGTAAAAGATCACATTAGCAGGTCAAATGACAGAGATCTGAGAGATGAGAAAGATGCTATAGATATGCATCATAAGAGAAACAAGCCTCAAGATAGTGATCCTGATCGAGAGGTAACCAAGGCCAAACATGAAGGTGATTTAGATGCTAGGCGTGATCAAGATCACGATCGAGATCGCCATCATGCATATGAACGTGATCGTGATCATGATCAAGAGAGTAGGCGTAGACGCGACCGCGATCGTGGTCGTGACCGTGACCGTGACTATGATCGAGATGGGAGGCGAAATCGCAGTCGAAGTCGTGCTCGTGACCGTTACTCTGATTATGAATGTGATGTTGACCGTGATGGTTCACATTTTGAGGATCAATACACAAAATATGCTGATAGTAGGGGAAGGAAAAGATCTCCAAATGATCACGTTGATTCTGTTGATGCTAGATCTAAGAGTTTGAAGAATAGTCACCATTCAAACGAAGAAAAGAAGTCTTTGAGCAATGATAAAGTGGACTCAGATGCTGAGAGAGGAAGATCTCAATCGCGATCACGTCATGCAGATGTTAGTTTAAGCAGCCATAGACGGAAGAATTCACCCAGTTCTCTGTCACGTGTTGGCATGGATGAATACAGGTTGCAGCACTTTTTTATTTTATTTTATTTTTATTGTAACTCTAGGTATATGGTGTGTTTGAAGTCCTTGTTGCATGAAAAAAATTGTTCAACGATGTTTCTTCATTTATTTGTTTGAAGTTCTCTGTCACGTGTTGGCATGAAAAAAGGCATATTTGCATCTATTTTTCTCTAGCTAGTTTCTATTGTTCTATGTATTACATTCTTCATTGTACTGCATTGATAGGTTAATAAGCAACTATGTATTGGTACCTCACATCTTTTATGCTTTTGCAATAGAATGACTTTTCTAATTTCTTTCAGTTATATTTGATAACTTATCTTCTGGTCGTCTGTCATTGACAAATGTAAAATTTTCAAGCGAGGAATTTTTTCAAAAGAAGGAGAAAGCAAAATATTTTGAGCAATTTCTTCTCCAACATATTTTCATTTGCGTTAAGATAAAGGGTTGTAGTTGTAAATCTGTTATGATTATGTGGTGTTTTTTTTTTTAATAATTATTGTTTTTATGGATTTAATTATAATAGCTGGTAGTTTTTCCTGCTAGGTTCCATATTAAGAGCTAGGCTGTTTGGATTTTCTTGGCTTTGAGTTTTAATTTTTTTATCAAGAGAAAGAGCAGAGAGAAGACAAAGAACATGTCAAGCCCACAAAAATGGAGCAAAACTTTTGTTTTTTCTATTTTTCCTTGTGAAAGGCAAAGGAATTAATGCACACTAGTTGGATCCGAAAAGGTACTGACAAGGGGGTGCCTTACAGACAGTAGTAGTGAAACTTTCTGTCCTCACTGTAGTAAACCATAAAGAAGCTCTTTGTTGTTTATTTATTTATTTATTTTTATAAAAGGAGTTCTTACCACATCTTCCTGCATCGTGTTATTCTTGATCTTGGTTAGGATCTGGGGTAGGAAAAGACAGGGTTCCTTGTTGTCTATGAAAAATTCTTTGTGCCTTACATCTTGTGGCACGAGTTTTCTTTTTCCTTTTTTTCCCAAAGGATTTCTTCTTGATATGAAACGGTGCAACGATTAACGACATGATTTTGTGCTATGCGTCCTTGTTCAACTCCTTAACTATGTCTCAGCCATAAAAGTTCATTGATTAATTTTGTCATGAGTTAGTCAAAAGGATTTATTATATTTTTAAGGATTCTAATTGGTTTGTTGTAAGTGGGTATTTGACTGCATATTGCAATAGTTAACAAAGCAATATTATCCATTTTTTCTCCATTTTAGGCATCAAGATCAGGAGGATTTGAGAGACCGATACCCTAAGAAAGAAGAAAGGTCCAAATCCATTTCTACTAGAGATAAAAGTGGTTTTTCAGGAGTACAAGAAAAGGGTTCCAAGTACACATATGTGGAGAAACCCAGTGAAGCAGACGGTGGCAATGCTATTGAGCTGTCACGAGAAAGGTCTTTAAATTCTAAGGTATCTATCACCATCAAGCTCATTGGAAAGATCTCTTTCATTGATGAATGACCTTGGACATGCTAACAGATCTTATGTTTTGCAGAATATCGACATTGAAGAAAGTGGACGAAGGTGCAGTACCTCAATTGATAACAAAGACCTCTCTTCTAATAAGGATAGGCTTAGCTGGGATTTACCAGGAGAGAAGCCTCTGATGGATGAGTCACCTCAGGCAGAGTCCTTCTATAGCAAAGCTAGTCAGAGCCATCCATCACCATTCCATCCACGCCCTGCTTTTAGGGGTGGACTTGACAGTCCTTTTGATGGTTCACTAGAAGATGATAGTAGACTCAATTCTAATGGTCGTTTCCGAAGGAATAATGATCAAAATTTGGGCAGAGTACATGGCAACACTTGGAGAGGTGTTCCAAACTGGACAGCACCACTACCAAATGGCTTTATCCCCTTCCAGCACGGACCTCCTCCTCATGGAAGTTTCCAGTCAATGATGCCACAGTTTCCAGCTCCCCCTTTGTTTGGTATCAGACCTCCACTTGAAATCAATCACTCTGGAATTCCCTATCGGATGCCTGATGCTGAAAGATTTTCCAGTCACATGCATCCACTAGGGTGGCAGAATATGTTGGATGGTTCAAGCCCTTCTCACTTACATGGATGGGATGGAAACAATGGTATCTTTAGGGATGAATCTCACATTTATGGTGGAGCTGAATGGGAAGAGAACAGGCAGATGGTGAATGGTCGAGGATGGGAGTCCAAAGCTGACATGTGGAAGAGACAGAGTGGTGGCCCGAAAAGGGAATTGCCTTCCCAATTCCAGAAGGATGAGCGTTTGGTGCAGGATCCTGTTGATGATGTATCTAGTAGAGAGGCTTGTGATGAGAGCACCAATACTATTTTGACAAAAACTGTTGAAATGAGGCCTAATATCCCTTCTGCAAAAGAAAGTCCCAACACTCCTGAACTTCTCTCTGAAACACCGGCTCCAGTTAGACGGTCAATGGACGATAATTCTAAACTTAGTTGTTCTTACCTTTCTAAGCTTAAGATTTCCGCAGAACTTGCACATCCTGATTTGTACCACCAGTGTCAGAGGTTAATGGATATTGAGAACTGTGCAACTGCAGATGAGGAAACTGCTGCTTACATAGTTCTCGAGGTAAAGTCCTGGACAAAGTTTCATCATGCCACAATACCACCTATGTCTGTTTATGCCTTTCTAATGATTATATGAATTTAATTTGTTATTTATGATTGCACTATTATCTTCTTGACAGGGGGGCATGAGAGCCGTGTTCATCTCTTCAAATGGTGTGCATCAATCTCTTTCCCATCCAAACAAGAACCCAGGTTTTCAGGTATAATACATGGCTGCATTATTTGTAAGCATTATAAGTGTCCGTTTTCCTCATGTGTTCAAAAGTTGAACGGCTACATAACTGTTGTTTTAGTTATAGTTTATGATATTTGATCATCGTCCTGATTGGTTCTATGCTTCTTTTGTTCGTAAAACTTTGACTTGTACATGTTAAAGATATTAATGGTTGTGAATGATGCTCAGAAGTTATATAGCACTTCATAATTGTGGTGTTGAAAATTTTGCAGCGTGCAATGGACTTGTACAAAAAGCAGAGAATGGAAATGAAGGAAATGAAAGTTGTTTCTGGGGGAAAATTGGATGGTATTTTGGCATCCTCTGAGAGGAGACTTGAAGAGCAAGGCTTGAATTTCAATAATGAAGAAGTTAAGGTTCCTGTTTCAACTGTTGGTGCGGAAATGGTGCAACCGCCCATATTGGCCACTGGTGATAAAGCAGTCGTTGAGTCGACTGCTGCATTGGGGAAATCGGAGGATTTGGCTTCAACTGCCAGTCAGGAGGAGGTGAAGTGTCTTGAAAACTCAGAGGAGACATTGCCAATTACCAAATCAACAGAAATGGATGTGATGGATTTGGAGCAGGAGCAGGTGAACTTAGACGTGGAAAAGGATACTGTCAAACCGAGCGACAATGTATCGGTCAATGACACCGATAAGGGGATTGTGAATGGCAAAGATTCTTGTTTTGACAATGCAGTGACTGTGAGTGGTCCTTTATCTTTTGCGGATGAAATACCCGAGACTTGTGAGGGTTTGATGCCTATGCCTATTTCAATTGGGTCTGAGTCATTAATTTTGAATAGGATACATCATTCTCCTGAAAGTACACATTGAAACAATTTTAATATCCGTCACCTTTTCTTATTTCTTATCTAGTTTTTAAGTTATTGATATTTCGATTCTTGTTGCTTCTTCTTCCTGCAAGGAATAAAATTTCCTACTGTTCTGCACCTTGGTGCCTTGTCTTGAGCGTGCTTTTCTTTTTTCCTCAGTTTATATTTTTATGCTTCATAAGTTCCAGAAATGGAAGTTTCCTCTGTTTTTTTTTTTTTTTTTTGGTTATATAGTAAATAATTCTCTCCAAGCAAATTGTCCATTTTCAGGAGCCAAACAAATTTGCTGAGTTGCTGAGGAAACTTCAACCTGCTAAGGTAATATCTAAATTCAGGTTGTAGTGTTAGAGAACATCTTATTTCCTTTTTGCCGTTGTCCCAATTTGGTGTCATCAGTCAAGTTCTAAAGTTTTATAAGTTTCAAGGTTAAAATATTATTTCGGTTTTTATACTTTTTGTTTTTTTCACTAGTCTTTGTACTTTTTTAATGTTCATTTTGTTTTTCTTTGTACTTTCAACATTTTTGTCTATTTTTGTTCCTCAACTTTTTGAAACGTTTGTTTTGGTCCATGTATTTTAAGAAAGTGATTGTTTCACCTTTTAAAAGTACATGAACTAAATGAATGTTTTAAAAGTACAGGAACCAAAATGAACAAAAATGGTCGGAACTTGGTATTATAAACAAAGTTTAAACATCTCTCTGTTGTAATCCTATTAAAAAAGGTATTGAATTGAATGGTGGATTAAAGTGATCGAAAGCATTTTCCTAAGTTCTATTTTTTTTTAATTATAATAGTAAGATGACAGTGATACTTATAAAGGTCACATTTCAAAAAGGTTCTTTGAAATTTCTATTATATACCTGATATAGTTGGTTTTCATATAGCCTTGTTCAGATTTTATGCAAAATATAGGGGAATTCTTTTAGCTCTTAAAATAGAGAAATATAGGGGTATTCTTTTACTTCTTAAACTAGAGATGTACAAGGAAACCTATAATTTAATTGAAAGTCCTTTATAATTAAAAGAAAATTATCATTGATTGTAATTTTTTTAAAAATATTTAATTACCAAGTCCGAGTAAAGTTTATATCTGCTTGTTACAAAAATGTCTTTATACTTGATTCCTTAATTTATGACCAAATATAGTAACATCTGATTGCTTGCTTTTAAATACAAGTCATGGGTTTCTAAATGAGAGATGGAACAAATTGCAGAAGATTAAACCTAGGGTTTAAAACAAAAGCATTTTTTAATAGGATGGAGATTGAATTTTAGACTAAAAAGATTTTCAAATAAAAGAATTTTATTATTAATTAATTAATTTTCTAATGTATGAAAATTGTGTATAATATTTAACGTTGTGAAAAAAAAAACACATTATTTAAATATAATTATTAAAATTAATTTTTGAAATATTGTAGTTTCAGTTCAGGCAAAACAAGAATTTCTTGCAGAGACAACATTTGCAAAATGTGGCAGTTTTTACTTCGATCAAAATTCTCTCTTGAAGTGCTTCCTTAAATTACTAATATTTTGATTCATTATTTTTAGTATTTTGATAATAAATGAAATTTATTTTCAATTTTTCTATAAATTAAAAATTTTAATTCATTGTGAGAATAACATTTCATATTTATATAAATAAAATAAAATTTATAGTCTCAAATTACATAGCATAGGATTAGAAAAGAAAAATCTTCTTCATCGAGTATCAAAGTCTGATAGACATGATGTTGTCTCATTTAAAAAGATTTTGAGAAATTATATATATATATGACGAAATTTTGAAAAATTATATTTAAATAATTAGTTTTCTTTGAGTTGCCTCAAAAGAAAAAAAAAAGTTTTCTTCGAGTAAGAAGGATTGGAGGAATTTCCAACTTAATTAGTGAAAACTTAAAGTGTATATAATTAAGAGGGCTCAAAATTTACATTTTGGTTTAGTAAATAGGTAGTTAAAATAGTTAGACCATCAAACAATGATTCGAGTTCTCAACAAGGATAAGAATGGACATTTAAACTTCTCATTTTTAAAGAGCTTCACGATTCTTTTATCAAGTAAGTTATGTCTGAGTTTGACATCAATCATCCAAGTCGAGTGTTTGCTACTTGAATAAATATATTACAAATACATAGTTTTACTTGGTCTTCCGACATATTAACATAGTATCCTTACTCATAGCTTTCCATATTATGAAACGCTAGGGTAGTACATATAATCTAGGAAAAAATACACGTTTGGTACTTGAGGTTTGTGGTAGATGCCTATTTGTGTCATTTATATTTGAGAAATGGTTATAAATGATTCTTGAACTATCCTTTGATCATTAGTTGACTAACGTTAAAATGACGTGTCTGTTAAATTGCTGAGCGTATTTTGTTAAATATATTAATTTAATTTTTTCGATGACTGGATCTTTTTTTAATAATTAAATTTTTTTTGCTGACTGTATGTTTTTTTAATAATATAATAAAAAAAGATCCAGTCATCCAAAAAATTAAATTAATATATTTAACAAAATACACTCAACAATCCAACGGTCAAAGTATAGCTCAAGGACCATTTAGAACCATTTCTCAAATCTAAGGGACAAAAACGTTCATTTTCAAATTTTAGGAACCAAATAGCTACCTACCACAAATCTCAAGGACTAAAAGTGTATTTTTCCTATAATCTATCTGGTTGTTCTTTATATCAGATCCATAAGACAATAATTGATACAGTAAATTACTTTAAATAATTATTTAATTGTTTATTTAGTTGTTAATTCTTCTGTAAATAAAAGTTGTGACTTTTATGTATTCACAAAATTATATAATTCCGATGGTGGGTGAAGGATATATATACTTTTTGGGGGGTATTATTGCCTTTCTTAGTTCTTAGGTCTCTTCTTTCAATATATTATCCTTATTCTTTAATTTCTATCTTCATAGAATATATCTACTTGAAATTCTTCAATTAACTAACCCTTTATATTTTAGGAAATTTTACTTCACGAAATAATCTAACTATTAATTCTATTTTACATTTGAGATTCATGTTATTCATTCTATTAAATATTTGTAAGGACAAATAGATCAATTTAACTTGATTTTTATTCAAAACTAATGCTAAATTCACATATCAATTTTAGAAAAATAAACTAATAAAGTTAATGAAGTCTAATAGTAAAATTGACAGAAATTTGTAAATTCCACTTGGTAGTATTTCCTTTCCATCTCTACTTTGTGATTTATTTTCCAAAGTTAATGTAAATTGATTTTTATTTTTGAATTTATTGAATAAAATTAATAGTAAAACACGTTTAAAATACCATGGATCATTCTCACATTATTAGATCATTCTAAACATGTCATAATCCAGTCAATCTTTTGGAGTGATCTTCAAAAAGGGAGGTCGCTCCCTTCATACACCTTGCAGCTTCATCGTCGTGGGTTTGGATTAGGTCGTTTGGCAGAGTAGGTTGATGGGCAAGACCCCTCCAACTGCAATGGTATGGGGCGTCAGAGGCTGTTGCCTCGTGACCAACTCGAAAGGGCTCATTTTACAAATCAGTGTAACCTCCATTTTTAAACTCATTGCCACCTGGCACCTACCACCTAGCTCTATTCTTATAACTTAACGTTGTGACGGTTTCCTTTCTTCCTTTTAACTTTAAGAGGGAAGTTGATGAAAGAGTCGAGTAAAACTTGTTGAAACGAACTAATTTTAATTATTATTATTATTATTATTATTATTATTATATTTTTTAGTTCAACCAAGAATGAAGACTGGAATCTTCCACTTTTCAAGAGCTCAGAAAGTTGATAAGAGGTATTTAGTATAATTTAACTAACTTTTAAAAAGTTTGGATAAATATATATGCCTTTTGAAAATTAATCACCATCTTATCAAATTACAATTTGAATATTAGTTTTGATCTAAATCTTAACGAACACTATTATCTCTTATCTTCAACTAAAACTAAAAAGAGAGATTCCATTCGAATATAAACAATTAATTTCTTCGAAGGATAATATATCAAAATTTCTCCAACACAGATTACTTGATTTTATACCTTGCAAACTTTAGATCGTAAAATCTCGGTTTAAATTTATTTAGATGTTGTTCATTTTGATCCTTTCTCCTTTCGGTTTGTTTTTAAAAAGTGATAGTCCTTTATGTTTCTTTTATCTCATTTTTTTCAATAATAATTTTAGCCTTAAAATGTAATCATAAATTTGTATTAAAGAGTTTTCATTGTATATAAAATTTTCTAATAGGAATCAAATAAAGGTACATGAAACAAAATAGACGTTTTGAAAGTATAAATATAGAACCTCATGATCAAATCTGGAGCTTTAAATAAAATGAACTCAGAACATTGTTTGAGGCAATGTTTCTGGTACCATAATTAGAACTGTAAGTGATACAGATCATAACACTTGAATTAGGAAATACAAACATCAACATTACAGAGCAGCAGCAGCAGCAGCATTAATATGAACAAATAACTTCTGCTTCTTCTTCTTCTTCTTCTTCTTTTTGTTTTATTAAGCAAACACTATTTACAAATCTATGTTCTACCCAGCCTTTCTAAAGAAACTAACAGCAAATTCTTCTTCTAACCTCTGGTTTTCCATCATAGAAATCAATGCCTTTTCATCTCAGATTCTTCAGTCTTGGCAAACCTTCCTCTGATTCTTGGTTGGCTGTCAGCCAGGGCCTTCCTGCAAGCATACTGACAACAAAAAAGCTTCTCCTTTTATCCTTCATCTTATGATCTTAAAGGTCGGTTTTTTATTCCGATCGTTTGAGTTCTTAATGTTTAAGTGTAAGACGTGGTTAAGAGTGCTTTAACAAGTAAAAAGTGCTTTGATAACAAACTACTTTGATGTTTGGTTCAATATTTTTAAGTATACTCCGGTCAAGCAGTCAGACCTGCGCTTTCACTAGGACTTTCTCACTCTCTCAAAAAGTTTTTTAAGTGATTTTAAGTATTTTTATATTACTCTCAAACATGATTTTGAATTGGAAGTACTTTTAGCTACGGTAAAAGTACTTTTGAATACTTCCAACACAGCCTTAATTGTTTTAAAAATGTTCTTCCTAACTTCGTTAAGAAAAATGGTTGGTAATATGGCATGGTGCAATATGTGTAGTTTATAGATGCAAAGAGGCTGACTTAGACATCTAATGACAGGAATTTCTTACCAAAATACATCAAAAATGAACAAGTCTTAGTAACTTTGCATTACAAAGAATTTTTTAAAGCATGAAGGGTGTAAAATGTCAGAGTCCATGCCATTGTCATGTAAAGCTCCACTTGTGCACTTTCAAAAAAGGTGACTATGTTAAAATCTTAAGTGGTTTTCGCAAGCGAACTCGTTTGACATGTTTATGGAACATTGATTGTCAAATATATTACCTTGATCTTTCTGCCAAAGTTCCTTTTCGTCTTCTTATTTCGGTATCTTGAGAGCTTTTCTTTGCGCTCTTCAGCAGTGCAGTTGCTGACTAGCAGCGGCCGCTCGAGAGGAGAATGGAACTGGCTACCATTGCCGTTGCTAAGAGTCTGCAAGAAAAGTTTAGCATCAACAACAAAATCCCAACTTGTAAAATGATCAAAAACAACATCGAGACACTTCTATATAAATATATCATAATGCGAGAAGTATTCACTCCTCAGGAAGCACTTATTTCTAGCTCATGCGTTTCTGATTATTAGTTAGCCTTTCAACAGTTCACCTGAGATTCCCAACATTTATTATCGTACTCGAGTCATGAATGTTCAGTTCTTCCCTGTGTCAGTTTCTGTATCAAATTTGCAACACACTGATCCTGAAACATTAGAAATGAAGTCTGACCTTGATATCTCCTTCGCTAAATGCCCGTCGCATCCCGTAGACAGCACTCATATCCATTCCGCTGAAATCCAAAAGACTGGACTTCACTGCAGGGCCTTGCATCCAGTCCATTGACCTTAAACATCCTGAGCTGACACTCTTCTGAAGTGTTGCATCAGGAACTGGTTTGTTTTCCGAAATTTGGTGTTCATTCGTTTGTATAATCGCATCCTTAAGGTCGGAAACTTCAACTAGTGGTGTTTGTATTGCTGCTTTCTCTAATAGATCCTTCCCACACTCATAGTAAACCTCACTCAAGAGCTGATCACTTTGAAATGGTTCAAAATCCGCATCTTTAAGTCCTTCCAAGGAGATGTCTGCTTCCCCGCAGGATATCATCGAAATTGCAGTCATAGGATCGAGACCTGAAAACGATTCCCCAATAATTGGCTCTGGAGCTTTGAATAGGTCGCCTTCACCGCCCATGTTGTATTCACAAACAATTGATGTTTGAACCATGTTACTCTGTATTAGACGAAAGAGATGAATGATGAAAATGAAACCAACCAATCTGAAGGTGGGAAAAGAAAGAAGAGCTCTTTTGCCAACTTACTTTAATCCTAATAACAAATCAAACTAATGCCTAACAAAAAATGCAAAATAGAAGTGATTTTTCAACAAAAATTCATGGTTCCAAGGCAAAAGGAGCTTACTAATTTGAGGGGAAACAGGTGAACATATTCTTGGATGAAAAGATAAGGAATAAAAATAATTTTAATGTAAAGGTGGATGTTAAGTTGTAGGATCCTGCAAAATTCAGCCAAATTAACAGAAATCATTGGAGAAAAGCAAAAGCAGAAAAACAAAGAATATTTTGCTAATAAGGCCAAGTATTTATATGCTGAGAAAAAATGGTGGAAAAGCTCTGATGAGAGCTGGCTTCTGGCATTATAGAACTGAAAATGCTCTCACAAACAACCATTTACAAATACAAAACACAATTTGCCCATCACTGGAAATCTCTGTGAAAAGAAGCTGAGCACCACCAGCTTTCTTATAACAGAAGAAATTGTTAGTGGGTTTTGGGAGAGAGAAAAAGAGAGAGAGAGAATGCTTTCTTAAAACCCTTTTTCCATGGAGGTTAAGCAAAAACAAGAGTGGAATAATGGGTTCAACTCAAAAGATGAGTGAAAAAAGGAAGAATGATTGGAGCAGGGAACTTAAAAAGAAACTGTTATCTCTTCCACTCTCCTTCTCTTTGCCTTTTTCCATCCATCCTTTTGTAGATCCAGCATGTAAAGCTAACTCAAAACGACTTCCCTATGCACTTTGAGAAAACTGGGATACAATGGTAACAGAGCAAGTATTTTCTGAGTCTTTCTCGCCCATTTTCTCAGGAACCAAACAGTGGATAGGAAAATCAAGTAACAACAAACAACTACCAGAACACATAGTTGAGACCAAAAACTAAAGCAGTAGAAAGTTTCAGCTCAAACCCAGTTCATAATCATCCAAAACAATGCAGCCCAACAGCAAAAGGTTAGGAAGAAAACAAAGTAGAGAGAAAAAGAGAGTACCAATGGAGAGTCAAGCTTGTGGATTTTGCAGAATTCCCTAGCTAGTTGAAACTCATCAGAGAAATTCTGGAAGTAAGGAATCAAATGCTCAGTTTCTGCATACATTTCCAAAGCCTGGGAGAGCAAAACGAGTCCCTATTCTTTGGAAAAGAAAAGCCCTTCTCCAGTTTCTCAGGAAAATGGGAGATAATAAGCTGAGGAGAGCAGCCCCAAAATGGGTGAAATTTTTTTTGGGGGGTTTTGTATTTAAGCTTGGGATTTGGAACTGAGAAAAAAAAGAAGGCAAATTTATATGGTCTGTTATAATATTGAATAAAAACCCATCAAAGATCAAACAGAGAGGAAAATTAATAGAAAAGCAGTGGAAATATTGTCCTTCTAATGATGATGATGATGCAATAAAAAACATATATGAAGACAAAGCAAGAAAATAACTTGATCATTATTTTATATTGCAATGTCTCATTTAATTGATTCTTTTAATTATTATAAAAATTATTGGGGGTTTTTCTTTGATTATTTAATTTGCAATTTGCAAAGGGTGCATCAGCATTCAGCACCAAGCCAAAATGCTGGGGAAAAGTTTGTGGGCTGGTCAGGAAAATGAACAGGTCCCATATCACAGGATCCACGCGCCATGGGAGCGCGTGGATTCCACCCCCCCAAATTTCTCGATTTTTTTTTAATTTTATAAATTTTGTCTTTACATTCGTTGTTATGCATTTGATGAGTTCCAATCTGCCTTCTTTCTTTTCTTTGTTGTTTTCTTTCTCAATATTTTGCAGAAACTTAAATGAAGAAACTTTACTTTTTTGGAATGCAGTAAGTTTGAGGAAGTAAAAGTAAAAGTTAAAAAAAAAATTAAGCAAAAAAAAGACAAGATATATAATTAAAAAGATTAAACCAACACTGATTTGTTAATTTGTTTGGTTCTTTAAGCTTGATTAATATTTTCATAGTTGTGTCTCTTTAGTTTCTAAACTTTAAAGTCATAATTTTATCTTTTTACCAAAATATTTTTTTAGATTTATTACTTAAATAGTGAACAAATTTGATTCCATGTTTGATGGAGAAGTTGGTAGGGATGAGAATAGAAAGAATGTGATAATGAGATTTTCTTATGTGCACCCAGACAAAAAAGAAAAAAAAAAGGTGAGTAAAGAAAGAAGAGATTCAATCCTCCTTTAGTCGATATTTAATTTGATTGATTTGGTGGTGTATGAATGACTTCCTTAAATTCTACCTTAAAAGAATATCACTTTAGTTATCGTTAACTAAGTAATGATGTAACATGTTTATTGAATAAATGTTGAGTGATTCAACACGACATATGATAAAAGATAAAAGTAAATATATTAAACAAAAAAACAGAGGATCTCATCAAGGTACAAAACCCAAAGGACAAACATAAAACAAGAAGACAGAAAAGTAAATAAAAAAAAAACAAATCTCGGACCAAGATAAACATAAGATCAGAAGTTCACAAACCAGGTAGTACAACCGACCTCAGCTTTCAAAGCACGCAAGAGGGTAGAAGGAGACCGACTCATCCCACCCACATGAATTCTAGCATTACGTTCCATCCAGATAAAAGAAATAGTCGAAGTCAACAATTTTTTTTGGCAGGCTTATTTTGTTTTGATTCTCTAACCCAACCTTTAGCAACAAGCTTTTTTTTACTTTACCATTTATTTTAATTACAAACTCCTTTTCTTTTTGTTTTATTGATATAATATTATAATTTTTAACACTTGGCATTTTAAAATAATATCTCTCTCTCTCAAGTAGATCAAATCAAATCAAGTAGCCTAAGTACACTAAAAAAATGCAATACAATAATTTAAGAGCTATTAAGTAGTGATAAAAATATAATAAAACTTTGAGATCTATGATGGCCACTACCTTCTCCAAGGATTTGAATTTGTGTGCATGACACCTCCTTTTTTAAGTCATGAACAACAATTCTGAAAACTTATTCCCAAAATTAAATTCTATGCTTACATATTCAGTATATTCCATAGAATATCTTTAGACCAAAATGTTAAAACAACATATCTCATCCTTTTGTTAGATAGCGATTTGAAGTAAAAATATCTTCGATTTATTCTATTACAGGGTTGGGATCGAAAAGAGAACATCTTTCATTATTTATTTATATTCTTAACACGCTCTCTCAATTGTAGGTTCCAAAATTAGCACAAAGCCCAATATATGATTGTCATTGTTAACTAAGAAGGAAATGACATTACAAAGATATTTGAACACAGTACTTCTTGTTCTCATACCATGGTTAAATCGAAAAGTCTATGTGAAATTGGAGATTCGGTATTCTTGTAGAGGAACGTCATACTAGAAAGATAATAGAAACGACCTTCAAAGGAGAGCGAGTGAGTGATGGGCAACCTGATCGATCAGTGGCCAAGTACCAGTCTTGCAACGATATTGTCGCAAAAGGACTAGTCCTTCACTTGCTGATCGTTTGCAACGATATTTACCTCGCTCTTCACCAACGAGTCAGGCTGGATCACTCTTTTTATTGGGAGGATCATGCTAATCCGTTACGGTATACACATAAATATGTTAAAAGGCATTTTCCAATCTTTCCCCAGGTGTTGTGCAGTTGAAGGAAAGGGAAAATGAAAGGGGTAAAAGAAGATTAGTTTAGGAAATGTTGACTGTCTGCCCAAATATAACAACATGCCTACCAAAACCAAGAGACTGTGACAAACTTTGATAAAAAATATGATGTCATGTTCTCAAGGACCAGGTAAAAAATCTGCTGGTCTCTTGTAATGAAATGACATGGGTTTTAGCTAGCTGGACCCAATATAAGAACAAAAAAGTTAGATATTTTGCAAACACACACCTCATCTTAAACCTAATTACAATAATTCAAGGCCATAAGTTTAATGTTAATTACTTAGTTTTGTCCACTGATGTGAGTTAGCAAAGAACTTTCACTGTATAAATATAAATGCAATGCCCACTTCACAAGATGTCATCAAAGAGAGAGAGATTCTTCCTATTTGGCCAAAAAAAATGGTTAAAATTCTTCATCAATATGGAGAGTCCTATTCCTCCACATTGGAATTTTGATTTGAGTTATAAAAAGGTCCCACCCAACTTTCTTTCTTGTCCTTTAGTGAAGCTCAAAGAATATGTCTCTCTTAAATGCACTCGGACATGAGAGAGAAGCAAAAACAACCTCTAACTCAAAACTTTATTCTAGAGATAATAATAATGATAATAATATCTCTTCAACGTTGACGGGAAGGTTTGACATTTCGCTGTCAACTCTTTGCCACCTGGAAGGTTAGAATTGTAGTATGTTCTTAAGGTTGGACCATCCGCTCATTAAAGCAATACATAGACTTCATCTAATAAAAATACTTTTCTATTAATTGAATAGCAGGAGATTTAATTTCAACTATTCACCACTAAATTTTTTACGGGTAGAAGATAAGAAGAATGAACCTGCGAGAGAGAAGAGACTTCTTTTTTTTTTTCAAAAAAATAAATATTTGTCAAAAAATTAAGGAGTATGATTACTACTTAATGACTTTTGAAATCCAATAAAAATGAATTTCCATAACTTACATGAGAATCAGTATGAAATGAAAAGTAATACCTAAACAGTGAATCCCACTTGAGAATTTAACTTTTGAAGTTGGTTTGATTATTGGTTATCAGAAGTCAAATAGTTTGAAGATTTTTCTTTCCTTTTTTTTTTTCTCTTTCTTTTCTTTGTTTTGTTTCTTTGGGGCTTCTAAAGCACACTTAAAAAAACCTTAAAAAATTCATCAATTGGGAAAGGAACAACAAATTAAATTAAAGTTGTAATAAAGAATGATACTTTGTGAAACTTGCACACAAAATGACATGGCTGCTAGAGGGAGCAGAGATTGAGCCAATTCCCTGCTTACACGTGTCACATTTTGGTTGGTACAGTTGTGACTTGAGATACTAAATGAAACCAAAAGAATCCATTTTTCTTTGTTTTTGTGTATTTCCATTAAATCCCAACAGGTCTTGTGGACCAGAGTGTTCTGTGTTTATGTGTGTGAGAAACAGAATGGTGAAGAATTCCCCTTTGTTTCTTTCTTTTTTCTTTTGAAATTGTTGATTTCAAACTTTTCTCCATGATATTTTCTGTTTACCATGCATTTAGTATTTAACCATGTACAAGACATACCTTATATCGTTCGTTTTCTGATAATCAAGTGTACTCAAGAGCCTCATTTCTTATATCATACTCATAGTATACTCTCACTAATTCTCGAGAAGACTTCGGCTACTTCGAGAGCGGTTTTTATGACTATTCATTGATGGACCTAATTACAACATGAGTTTCAACTCAAATATCTCCACATGTTTTTTTTCAGTTTTCTTTTCTTTCAATGATGCAAAAATCTAGAAAGAGAGGGAGACTTGTAAAACTTGCACAAAAGTACCCTTTGGTGGAAAAGAATGGGAATGCCAACTAGCCTTGTGAGAAGCCAAATTTGAAAACCCACTTTGAATTTAGTTGGTTGGCTATAAATGAATGAAAGGAAGATGTTGTTAGTGGAGGAGATTAAGTGCATTTGGTCATCATCTTAGCCATCTTTGCATTCTATATGACATCTAATAAGTCTCACCATTATCTTTTTAGTTCCAAAGAAGTGAGTTTTCTCTTGACCACTTGGTAAAATAGTCCATTTAAGGTAGACAAACATGTTTGAGGCATAGTTTCACATCGACTAGAAGTGGGAAAGATCTTGAGTATATAAGTAAAGATCCGTATCTTTATCAATATAAGGTCGTTTGAGTAGAATCCAAAAGCTAACTCATATGGTTGAAGTGAATAGCATCATACCCTTTAGGTTCGTTGTCCTAACAAAATGTTTGTTTTTTTTAGTTTCTTCCATGGATTTCACTCTTGAAATGGCGTTTGGTATTTCAACATCATACCTAGAAATCTAAGAATAGAAAACTTGAGACCAAGGCACTTGTTTGTGAATATCAAACGCCTTGAAAAGAGATATTTCCTCATGATTCATGCGAGTAGATTTACAAGAAAGTTAAGCATATATCACCAACCAAAACGTCAGGGTCGGGGTTCTGTTGAACAAAAAGTTAGGCATAACATGGAAAGACTATTCCTAGTAATTTATGGCATGAAATCATGTTGCCTTCAATCCCCACGTTGTGGGGCCAACAAATTAGCAGAAATCACAAAGAACAAACAAGAGAAAACTAGAGAAACAGTGAGTGGAATTTGGAAGCTGTGTTTAAAGTCTCTGACTTTTATTTCATTTCAGCTGAATGAAGGGTGGGAAGAAAGTTTCAAAGCAGAAAAATAATGACCGTTGGTGGGACTTTTAAGTTAGAATTTCAGGAAGCCCAAAAAACAAAGCAAACAGAAAAAGATGGCCTCAAAGAAGAAACAGCTGGAGTGGGATTTGTCCCATAATGCAAAATTTTGTCTGTTTTGGAGAAAATTTTAAGTGAATTGGCTTTGGGTTGCTGAGCCCCACTCAACATTTTGAATTGTTGCTGACATGGACATAAATGGATGAAGTGGCAGTCATTGTCCATGGCCATGCAGGACTTCTGTCTTCTAAGCCACTGAGATGAAGCTCAAGAGTTTGGATTCAAGTCAAAACACCCCAAATTCTGTGCTTTGTAAAAGATCATAAACAAATTGGTTTCTATTTTCATGTTAAAAATCTTTACTTTGATCAAAATCTCCAATCATGACCTGATTTATATCACTTCTTTTACTTCCTTTATGCAAAATAACCATTGTATGGTTTTTGTTTTTGTTTTGGTTTCCTCATTAGATGTCTGCATCAGGTTTCAGAAGAGAGATTTGAAGACTTAATAATAGATAAAAACAAATCTGTAACTGTAGATTGACAAAACCCTTCTACTCTTCCATAATTTCCTCTCTTTGGTTGCTGCCTCATTCAAAGAAAAGATCCAAAAACTTGTCGAGTTCAGTTTTTATTTTTGGTTTCTCTTATTTATCTCTTGAACGTTCGAAGAGACAAAGAAATTTTATGATATGATATTGTCCACTTTAACTGGAGGGTATCTTGGCAATCGAACTCTCCATTATTTAAAGAGATTTTCAAAATTCTGATGTTTGAAATCCATTGACACACCAAGATTTAGACAGATATTCAGGCTGAAAAAATTGTCAATAAAATGGGCTTTTTAGTTAATAAGCAAAGCTACAAGCTTTTCCTGCAGTACAAGATTAGTACAAAAATGATTCGTCGCATCTTGGAAAAGAACAATGAGGAAGAAAAGAGTTGTTTGAGCCAAAAATTAAGCAGAAAGTGGCCTCTGCCATCGCTTTAGATAAGGACTCATTCATTGTCTTGGGGTTGGTCCAGTGCAGGTGGAGAGCCAATTCAATTTTGAACCCCAAAAAAAAAAAAGGGTAGAAAGTTTGAGTGACAAGTGGCATGCCACGTCACTGTCATGTGGGTGTTCGCACTATGGAAGAGGATGAAGAAGGGGAAATCTGAGCTAGCTTTCACAAGGATTGCAGGGGAATTCTTCCTCTTTTGGGTCAAGTTTTGTGAGAACATGTCCTTCTCAATCTTGATGATAATTTCTTTTCTTTTTCTTTTTTCTCCTTTGATAAGAAGAAAAAAAGGAACTTTTATACCTAGAAGCTAAACCTTCAAAACCCCTTTTGTTTTGGGAGCACAGGATATTTGCAGCCATAGTTTGGGGTAGATGGTCTTAAAAGAAGTGGCACATAAATGGGATTTTATGGGTACAATAGAGAAACAATTGCAATGGAAATTATTGGGTTTGAAGAGTTGGTTGGATTGGTCAGAAAACAACAAAAGAAAGTGAATTAGAGGGGAAGAGGAGTCCCTCAGACATGGGAGGGAATTATAGGTCCCCCACAGCCACAACAGATTGCAGAATGTGAGGTCCTTTTAACTACTCAGAATCATTTCATTGATAGGCCTTTGTGGGCCTAAGAGACAATAATGACAAAGGGGCTGTAGGCCCATTTACCTTTTCTTGGAAAAGGGCACTGAGAAGGACCCCAATGGCATGCCACAGGGTGGCACAAGTTGACACGTGTCGTCACGTGACTGCCTCGCGGATATCTCTAGGATGAGGCCAATGGCTAGGGCTATCTTGTCCAAAAGTTCCTTTCATTACCTCATTATTGACCCTACGTGGCTAGACTAATCTCGGCTAGAAACAAGAGTAGAATTAGAATGACAATACTCCTATCATGCTACCAAGGTTCATGATACCAAATGATTTTGAAAAGTCTAAAGACAATGCTGGAAAGTAATACAATTCTAAAGTAATAAAACATTAACATGTCTGACGGGAATTACCAGATTCTCCAAACAATCAACTGTGTGATCAATCTTCTAAATGACATCTCATAAATTTTTCCTTTTAAAAAAGAGAGATTAAAAAAAATCATTAAATTGGCCAAACTGAATAGCGCTCGTTGCACTACAAAAAAAAAAAAAAAAAAAAAAAAGATTTAATAGATTGTTCCCCACTACTCTTAAGACATTTAAAAACAGTTTCACTCTTACAGGGAGAGTTATTTTAGAATAGTTACTTTAGTTGTTGCCTGTTGGACATAGCCATGGCCCCAGAATTTGACGCTGGGCTAATGGGCCTTTCATTTAGGCCCAACTTGTATCTTACTTTGCTGAATAGACCTTGGCCCACAATCATAGAAAGCCCATCGTGAAAAAAATAAAATGGTAAAACCTTAATTCAGTACATACATGGTAGCAAAGTAAATGAATGAGAACATGTTTTCTAAAAGCCCTCATTCTCCCCTAACAAAACATTAGAAAACCAACTAGAGAATTCAAAAAGAAACACAAGGAAAAAAAATCCTCCCACCTCTGAAACAGAATCTATTTGACTTCTTTTGCTTTTTTGTTTTTGTTTTGTTTTTGGGGTTCTATTATCTATATGTCGTAGAATCAGCCAGAAAATTTCCGCTTATGAGATCTTTGCCCTTGAAAAGTCCATCTCCGGATGCTGCAATTACAGAGAGTCAGTCAGTAGAGAGAGAATCATTACAAGCACACAAGGACACAGTTTCCAAATAATCACCTCAGCCATGAACTTCTTCAGAATCTCCTGCTTCTGCATCTCATCACTGGTTGGGAGTCCCATGGACTTCTGCCTTTGATCGAACTGTACAGTGTTCCAAATACGGTTAGAGACTGCACGCGTAGCTAAATATGAACCAAACTAGATTGACCAGATATTCCGCAAAAGAACAAAGTTATAATATCATTGAATGACAAGAGATCAGTAGCATAATCAAGCATGGGGGTTTAGATTTATTGGAAGTTGGGGATGGATGCCAAGAACATGGTGATAATGCATGATCTAATTTACAGTACTTTACAGATCAATCATAAAATAAAATTTTCACAAACATGAATTATTATTAGCATCAGCATGAGGGCGTCAGCTCCTAAGTTGATACAATAGAGTTGAAATTTGACAGAATGTATACCCTTTTATCATATTGTCAAAACAACCTAAATATAATAATACCAAACTCTTCAGTCCGCAATTTGACAAGAGTCTTCGACAGTCGAGTATGAGGAGTTGTGGCTTCCTCTGACTGACAGTTACTCGGAAGCTGCCAAAATGGAAGGAATCCTTTTTTTCCTCGGGGGAAGATTGAATCTCATGCAACCCACTCTTTACCAATGTCCCATCATATCATTTTTCGTTTCTTAAGATCTCCTAGAAAACTAGGGCAGGCACATTGAAAAACTTTCGAGGAGCTTCTTGAGGAAAAAGCTCTGATTTGGAGTGTCAATCATTTAGTGAGTGGGAAGAAGTGTCCATTCCTTGAATTGAAGGGGGTCTTGGTGCAGGCAACATCCAAATTGGGAGGAGAATAAGATATCAGAGCACTATTGGCTGAGAAACATACCATTGTGCTTCGGGTTTCCTAAACTTTTATGGCTCGTCTGGCGACCGTTCCGGTTTCTTGTTTTTATTTCCTCGTATTTAATAAAGAAAAATAGAATGGCATGACCTCTATGATTCAAGAATGATAAAACTATATTTTCTATTTATGTTTTAGTACAAATTGAAAACGGGAACAAGAAACAAAAAACTTGTTTTCGTTGTTTCCAAAATTTCTATACAATTTTATCTAAAAAATATAAATATTTTGGGTCTTCTCACGTGATTGAATTTTCAATACCCTCCAATCAGAGGTTATTCCAAGAGTTATGACCAAGAGGCTATAAAAATACAAGGCTTCCTAAAAGATCAAAATCTCCATGTGCTCGCTTGCTGTTCCAGGAAAGAGTAAATCCCTATAGTCTATATTATTTAGAGAAGAAACCACGCAGCAAGCTTAAGCCCCAAACTGATGTGTGTTATACTGATATGCAAGAGAAGGAATGAGGAACAAGACTATGCTTTTAACCCACACCTGTCAGGAGGGAATAAGATTTTTCTATTCATTTAATTTTCTTTGATGCTGGCCATCTATTCTAAAAGATTTTATCATTTCAAAGGATAGGCTAAGATCTTTTGAAAGAACCGATGTGTCCAAGAAATTTGTAGGTTTTAAGAAGAATTTTGTTTCTAAATGGTGCTCTCTTAGTAGAGTTTCTATAACAAAACTCCATAATTTAAACTAATGGGACTGGAAGAATCAGATTCTCACCCCCTGATTTCATGAAAATGAGAGGGCATATGCCAAAAATTGGGTTGGAACTGGAAGGACATAATTTTGGACAGATAAATTTGCTGGAAATCAATCACTTTCTAAAAGGTTCCCCATATTGTATCCATTTTTTATATCCATATACGAGCCAGCTTGCTCGCACTTCGACCAATCTCACCGGACAACCACCTGGACCCTACTAGGTTTGATTGTCAAGGTTACTCATAAGATATTAAATCCCATGTAAACAGTCACCATGGTTTGAACTCATTTCCTCCTCTAAGTTATATACTATTTACATCGGCCCTTATTGACCACCAGGCTAACCCATGATGGTTTCCCCATATTTTATGCATTCGTTGTGCTGAAACATACAATTATCAGTCAAGTTTGGGAGGAAAGCACTTCTCCATTAGAGAATTACTTTTTTTTAGATCAAGAAACTATTTCATTGATATATGAAATATGATAACAAAAGGGGCTCAAATTGGGCTACAAAAAAGCTCTCCACTTAGATAAGAGAGAGGCGAAACTATAGTGATGAAATAGAGGGGAGCATTTACACCAAGATATCACCAAGAAAACTATAGAATCAAATAAGAGATGTGGGGTGACCGGTTAGGGTATAGTCCAGAAGCATCGATAAATCGGTAGGTAAACCCGTCGACGATCCAAAAGAGAAAGGAGCTTTTGTCAATAACTTGAGGCTAAATCACAAGAGACAAACACATGACCACTAGATTCACCATGTTTTTTGCATAAAGTGCACCAGTGAGGAGAAATATTCGGGCATACGTCTTTGGAGCTTTTCCCATGTATTGATAGCATTGAGACTAGTTTCCCATAGGAAGAACTTTATCTTCTTTGGGTAGTGATCTTTCCAAATAGAATTGTACAGAGAGGAATATGTCTGTGTAGTTGCTGTTTGGTGGATGTCTTTAATGAGGGAGGAGGTGGTGAATTGTCCATGTGATTCCAAACTCCAAATAATAAAATCCCGATTGGTAGAAAGGCTGATGGAGGAAAGATAGTGGAGGAGAGATGCCAGCTCATCAATCTCAGCATCCTTTAGATGCCTTCGAAATTGGATGTCCCAATTATTATTCGATGAGGACCAAAAATCTTGTACAGAACCCAACTTTCTGGTGTGTAAGGTATAGAGAACAGGGTAGGCTTGGCAAATGGGTTCTCTAGTGAGCCAAACATCAATCCAGAACCTTGGGTGGAAGTCAATCCAGAACCTTGGGAGGAAGCCTGTACCCACTTTATAAGTGATTCTGTAAAAGATCAAGGATTTCTGATTGTCAATGTCTCTCCATAAACCCTTAGTTGATGCAAAAATCCGGTTTGGGTGAGAATTCCGGTGGTCGGAGAAGGCATATTTTGCCAAAATCACTCTCCTCCAAAGGGCAGTTTCTTCCAAAAGGAATCTCCAGCTCCACTTGGCTAAAAGAGCCCGATTTTTGTCCTTAATACAGCAAAGACCCAGCCCACCTTCTTCAATTGGTTTCTGGACTTGTTCCCATCTAACCAAGTTTTGTGCCCCATTGTTGTTTGTACCCTTCCACAAAAAATTCCGAATGAGTTTTGCCAAATCCTTTGCCACTTTTGTTGGGATAGAGAAAATGGATAAGTAATATGTGGGTAGATTGGATAAAGTGGCTTGGATGAGGGTGAGCCGACCTCCTTTCGAGATGGTGGAGTGATCCCATGAACTAAGTCTTTTCCTCACTTTCTCCATGACCGGGTCCCAAAGAGATGCAGAATGAGGCTTGCCATTGAGAGGAAGGCCAAGGTAAGATGCCGGCCATGTTCCTTTTCTACATTCAAATCTGGTTGCCAAAGACTGAAGGACAGATTCATCTAAATTGATACCAAACATTTCAGATTTTTGTACATTGGTGTTAAGGCCAGACGCTTCTTCGAAGGACTTTATGATTCTGAAGAGGTTTGTTACCTTGTAACCCTCCTTGATAGAGAAGAGAATAGTGTAAAGAATAGTGTCATCAGCAAATTGAAGATGGAGTACCAATGGAGAAACCTTCAATAGACTTGTAAGCAGATTCACTGATCAACATTCTACTAAAGCAGTTCATAAAGAGGAAGGGTGAAAGGGGATCACCTTGCCTTAATCCCAGAGAGGCCTTGATCTTGCCTTGAGGTTTCCTGTTGATGATGATAGAAAAGTTTGCTGAAGAAACACAACCTCTAATCCATTTTCTCCACAGGAGCCCAAAGCCCTTAGCTTCTGTAATGCTATCAAGGAAATCCCAGTCAACTTTATCAAAAGCTTTTTCATGTCAAGTTCATTGGCAACAAGCGATGCATCCAGAATTTGTCGATTAGCAACAAAGGCAGATTGGTATTCAGTGATGGTAGAGGGAAGAACCTTTTTAAGCCGCTCCGAAAGGACTCTCACTATGATCTTGTAAAAACAAGAAGTCAAACTTATGGGGCGGTAGTCACTGACTGTTCGAGCATCAACTTTTTTCTGTATTAAGCAGATATAGGTTTCATTGAGGCTTGCATTAATGATGCCTTTTCTAAAAAAGTCTTGGAACACTCTCAAAGTATCTTGTTCGAGAATGTTCCAATACATTTTATAGAATTCAACAGTGAAACCATCCGGGCCAGGGGTCTTATTGGTTCCAAGATCCTTGACAGCATACCAAATCTCAACTTCCATAAAGGGTGCTTCCATAAAGGGTGCTTCAAGGAGGTCTTCATTAGAGAATTACTTCTAGGAGCAAATTAATTATATGAATATAGAGGAGTTAAAGGAAGGTCTATCAGAGACTAATACGGTTTATGGGTTTATATTGAAGGTGTTCTTACACCCATTGAGAATATTCACTGAAATATCTATTCAGGGAGCTCACAAAATCACAATCATTAATGCATAGCAAATGAATGGGCCCAAGACAGTGGAGATTTTTGTGTTGGTTGTTAGTAAGGAAGGTCCGAATACTGCTGATAGGCTGCAAATAAGATGCCCCCTTATTGCTCAGAGACCAAGCTGCTGCACATTCTATCTGCAAATAAGAGGCCCCTCTGTTTTTGTAGCCAGAAATGTCACACTTCTTTATTTCTTCCCTTTGGTTGTTAAAGAATCCTTCATAAGTCAGCCATGGATAATCTTCTTCGATTGTTATTCCATCACAAGTCAAAGAGTATGGTTAAAGTGATATAGGTTAATGATCTGAAGCCAATCACGTGAGATTGGTATGAAATTATGAAGGGAAGTGTTTAGATTGGGAGGAGATGGACACAGCAAAATCCTACATATCCTTTCATGTTCTTTTCTTGGCTGCACTTCTTCAAGTTCTTTTCTTAGCTACACTTCTTAAGTAATTAAACATTGATTGGGGTGCTTTTTTGTAAACTCCTAAATGGAGTGTATAAATTTTGTTTTTGTGTGCAACAGAGTGTGTGCTAAGAACCAACGGAAGTGTACAAACTATGTCTGTGAGTTTTCGTACATGCAATGGAAAGTGTTTCATGGTTTATCCTCCACTTCAACCTTGAATGTGCTTTTCTTTTGCATGTTTGTGCGCATGTGAATGAAGCTTCTTATTCGGAAGAAATAAAAGAACAGCATGTGAATATATGTGAAGGAGGAAACCTTGACATAATAAGCCATATGTGTAATTGATAGAAAACAGGAGATCAAGATACATACCATCATCTTTTCAACTGTTTGCCTTGTTTCTGCATCCAAATCAGACAGTTTGCTGTTCTCAGGTTCAACCTTCTGAGTATCAACCTCAGGTTCACCCTTCACTAAATACTTCCACCACTCCATTTGGTTGTGCTTGGTCAAAAGAATAGAGATCATGCTCTGATCCTCTGCAACAAGTATGAATATAAAACATAAACAAATAATAACGCAATAACTTTGTCACTCAAGTGACTTCAACTAACTTTATACGCCCCCTATCTTCTTATATATGTTATCACATATTTCCAAGGACTTTTAGCATCAGAATACGCCATATATTTTTAAAAAATATATTAATATCATTCACTTTTTTTTTCTTTTTGGTGAACAGACGTACCTATGCTCCAATAACAATCATCTGGCTTGACAATCTGACAAAGATCTCCCTGCAAGCATGTGATGATAATTAAGAACCTGAAAAATAAAAAAGCAACTCTTTGTGCACATATCTCCGCAGATGAAACAAGCTGGTGCAAAAAAAAACATACATCTATCACTGGCGGTTGACCCTTTAGTCCAACTTTGAGATGATTCTTCTTGATCTCACACACCACAAACCTGGATTTGGTTCCTTTGGGTACTGGTACATTAACATTCACTTCTTGGAGTGTCTGTGTCCAAGAGTAGTTGTCCATATCAAGACCATTACCGTGGTTGGGAACTGTAAGTGCCATAAGAAGTAAGAAACAAAGTTAGGAAACAGCTACACATTCTAGCAGTTGAACTCAAAAGACAAAAAATATTATTTTCACAAATTTGGTAGGGTAATCATCATACTGAGTTCCAAATGCCGGTGGAATTCTAGACACATTTGAAGATATATTATGAAAAAAAGACTGCAACCATGAAGCTTCATCATTCATGAAGAGATTAACATGGTCGCCTCTAGAGGATAAAATAAATACTCAACAATCAACATTCCATAGAGCGGTGACATTTTCCATTAAAGTTTCTCCATGAAGGCATGGTTCTCCATCAAAAGAATATCTTCCACAAAGTTCAATTTACATCGGAAATGTATCAGATTCGAACTTTCCAAAAATTTGAACTAACTTGTCTTGGTTGAACTGAAGCTAAAACTATCTCAAGAATGAAAAATTAAGAAACCTACCATCAACATCCAAACCAAACGAGTATACAAGTAAATGCAAAAATCATCAGTCCAAAAGCTAAATCTTGCCAATTAACTGCACCATTGTCAGTTTAATCTTGCCATATTTGACTGGCAATTATTTTAGTTATTCAATGTTTTCCTTCCTCTAACTCTTTCGAATCGTAGAAAATCAATACAGCCAATCCAAGAGCAAACAAGTAGAGGACGGGGAGGTGGGAAGGGGGTGAAAGAATGCTCACCTCTAGGCCCATTGTCCTCTTTCTTCTCCTCGGCGCCTTGCTCCAACTTCACATCAATCTTCTCTTCTGCCAGAGATGCCACAGTCTGCGGCTCCTCCTTCACGGTCCTGGGCTCCTCCTTGACAGTCCTCGGCTCCTCCTTCACCCTCTTCTCAGCCTTTCTACTATGCTCAAGTGAGTCTTCCTGCTTCTTTCTCTTCTCCACAGCTCTACGCACTACCGTCTCGATCTCCTTCTCGACTGTATCCCTGAAAAGAAAGTCGCTCTCCTTGGCAATAAAATCGAACACCTTCTCCAAAAACCCTAGAGGGTTTGAAGGATCGAAGTTGGCATTGAACTGAGAAGGCTTGGCCGATGAAGACGACGAGGAAGGCTTCTTGGGCTTGGGGATTTCCTCTTTCTCTTCGTAATCGGAGATAATCGCCATGGCGGACAGAAATTGGCCGGCTCGCTAATCGCTAGTAAGGATCAGTCCAAGGGTTTAGAGATGGATTTTCAAGCGACTATTATATATGTGTGTGAAAATTTCCATGCCTTATGCGTGGAGCACAGACAGTTCTAGAAGCTCCATTTATTTCTCGAACCCCCTCGTTCTTCCTTCGGTTAAATATATATTTTAGGTTACAACTGTAATTTTATTACCTCAATTTTCTATTATTTTGTATCTAACGGGTGTGATCTCTGGTAAAATTATAGAGTAAAATGAGACATCAGAGTCACGAACAATGATCGAGAAAATATAAATATGAGATTTCAACCAAATATAAATTTGAAATTTGAAAATTGAAAAATAGAAAACATAAATTTAAAAATTCAACATTGATTTTTCATCAAAAAATTCCACTAACATTTTGGAACTATGAATTGTCACTATTTATAGGCAATTTGTACAACCATGAGATGATGATATAATTGGACGCTAATAATTCGTAGAAAATAGACACATGTGACATTGAGAATTTAAGCACTTGGAGGTTCAATTTGACATTTTGAGACACTAAGCAAATGAAGAATATTGATACATGGGGTTAGAGTTATTTAGATATCTTTCTTTTTGACACCTAAGGTTGGACATCTATTTTATTTGATAATGTTCCTAATAAGATGTTAATTTTGTTAATTTGACTGTTAGAAACCTAGAATCAAAAATTGGATTCGATATGCACAGACATTTCTTGAGTTGCTTTTGGGAATGAAAATTGTCTTTACAAATCAATACAAATGCTTCTAGCATGCTTTGTTTGTTGAGTTTTGGCCAAATATTAGAATTGAAGTTTCTCTCACATATACAACGAGAGAGTAGTAGAAGTTGTCTCAGATAAAAGTTACAAGGAGGAAGTGTGTTCCAACTACTCGCATGGATTTGGGTTTTAATCATCTCAATTGAAATACTTTGGTTTGGTATACCAATTCTAGTTAATTGAACGATAATAATTTTTCATATAGTGGAGTTTTCCTTGTGGGCCGTGATATTTTTTTTCGGTTTGGAGTTTTCCACGTTAATTCTTGTGTTTTTTTATTTTATTGTTTTCTTTAAAATTTTCAGTTTATTCCCGCAGTAGAAGTAGGGGATTTTTGCGCATCACCTACTTTTTAAAGTCAAACACACTTAACTTTTAAGTGTCTATGAATGAGCCACTGAAAAGGGAAGATATTCATTATTTCATTATTAATATAAGTAATAATTATCAATTATGTTTTGCCTTGGGATCTCTCTCATTGTGATGTTAGATCATTCACTACAAAGTGTCACATGTCTACTAACTTTTCATGATTCGTTATTGAACCAAGTAGCACTCGGAAAGGTCCCTTGATAGGATTTGCAACAGCCTAAGTTTATGAATTAGGTCAAGTTTCAAAATCCAGATTCAATAACTAATCATTCTTGCATTCTTGTGCATCCTTTGTGACTTAGACGGGCCACTTGTTTGACTTGAGCTGCTTTTTTTTTATTTAATTTTTCTTTTTAACGAAAGAAACAATTTCATTGATTTATGAAATTACAAAATGTCCTAAGTAGGGTTTACATGAAGCACTCCCAATTAGCTAGAGGGGAAGTGTAGCTATAATGATGAAAAATAGGAGAGTTTATACACCAAGCGACAGCTTAATAAACTACAGCATCAAAAAACCTCTCGTAAGGTTGTGGTTTATCATTGAAGGTTCTTTGGTTTATTTCTCACAAGTAGTCCATAAGAAAGCTCGTGTAAATAAAATTTGCCCATAGTTTAGCCTTTTCCTTTTTGAAGAAATCTATGCGAATAGGGAGATGGCAGTACCGTGGACCATCCAAAGATGTTGAGGATGGATGTCCAAAATTTTGTTGCAAAGGTGTAGGTGACAAAGGGGTACTTGAGCTATTTTTGAGAGTGAAGATTGTCCTTACCAAACCAACACAAATCTTTTTAGCATGTTTTGTCCTTAATCACATGTTTCTTAGAAAATTTCTTAAGAAGTCACTCAATATAGGATTTCTCCAAACCAAGTACACTTTATTTAAGAGTTTCTATGAACGATCAATAAATTTTATTGGTACATATAGTAACTATAAATTATTTTAAGTTTTTCTTAATCAAGCAARGTTTTAAATGTCGGATGTTGATTGTCGAGGTCTCAATTTGATAGAAATGTCGATGTTGATGGATATTTCTGGAAAAGTTATAAAATTAAAAAACTAAAAAACTAAAAAATATATATTTAAATTAACAAATAATCATTTCACTATTTCTAAATAAGTTAAAAATGATTAAAATTAATATTATGTCTTATTGAATTTTTGTTGATATTTTTTACATCTTGTCGATTTTTTCGATTAACAAATAAAAATTTCACCATTTCTAAATAAGTTAAAAATGATTAAAATTAAAATTATGTCTACATTAGGAACTTTTGTTGAACTTTTTACATTTTGTCGATTTTGTTTGTAATATTATAGAAAAGTTTATTTACCTCTTATGTCGATGTCGAACCCATAGATACATGAACATGTCGACAGATATTTAATACCATGTGATTAGGATTATTATAACTATAGGCACATAATAATAATCTGATGGGAAAAAAATTCAACTCTCTATAGTCAGTACTCCCTCCGTTTATATCTAGCCATATATTATTACTGTATTATGTAGAATTATTATTATTTTTTTAATTTATAAATCCACTCTTTCATTTATTTTAATTGAACAGAGATGTTAGAATTTTCGCGAGTACAAGAGTGCAGTCTCGAATTTATAACAAATAAACCTTACAATTAATAAAATGAATAAATTGTACTAACAAAATAAATTAGGTAAAAAAATTAACTAATTAAGACTTAAAAGAGATTATATAATCTAAGGTCACGTTTACTTACGGCAACTAATCAAGAAATTGTAATAAAAACTTTTTTTTCTCGACGGTTTTACCAAATTGTAGGAATTGAATTAAATGGTGAGACTCACTCAAACTTAATCTCATAATCTTTTATCTTTAAATTATAAAACTTAATTAAAGGTAACAAAATAGGGATTTGAGCTTTTCCAATAAAAATTTCTATTATCAGATTTCGTTTATTTAATATTTATATATGTAATGTATTTATTATTATTTTCATTTATTTCAATAATAATTTAAGGTGTCAATTGTCTTAATTTAACAATAGTTTTATTTTATAGGATTTTGCGTAGTTATTCGCTTTCAAAAAAGGAACTCTTCGTAACTAGATAGTTCTGGTTTCAAACGTATATATAATAAAAAAAATGTTGTTTTTCATTTACATTTTTACAACCCAATCAATCTCATTCTCATTCCTTATTCTGTGGGCCTCACATATTTATTATAATTACTTTACAACTTTTATCCTTTTTCTCCCATCTATTAATTAGATCTATTCAATTTTTAATTATTTTTTTTATACTTTTATAATTTCTTCACCATTTACACTTTAATTTTTATTAGTTGATGTGATTTTATTATATAATATTATAAATTTGTATTAATTAATATCAATAGATATTATTTGATGTAATTTTATTTTAATTATTCATGTAGTGTTATTTTAATTATTCATGATTTATTAATATTAAATCAATTGTTATAATAAAAAATATTTACCATCAATAATATAGTAATAAATTAATTAAAATTTATTATTATTGTAATTTAAAAAATTAGCACAATAATGTATTTGTAATTAGCTAAAAATGAGAAAGGGGTATGTTAGTAATTACTATATATTTTGTTCTAATTCCGATTCCAAACAATTTTAGCAAACAACATCAATAAAATTCTAATTATGATTCCAGAAAATTTCAACAACATCGAAGGAATAACATTAACATTCTGATTTATTTCAGTTCGATTGATTTTCATTCAAATTAAATTCCCATTATGATTGTGGTAACTAAACGGGGTCTAAATCTAGGACATAAAAGAGACTTGCATAGTTTGAAATTTGAAGAAGCCCAAATTAATTGAAAGTTAAAAACTTATTTAATTTGACCGACAATATAAATATGATTCATTATTCATCTATTCAGAAGTTGGGTCAAGCCCATTAATTATGAGCTAGATGGGCTAGGCTTCTTGGTCATGGGTTGACTGTACTAATTGTAACTATCTTTTTTTTTTCTTTAGTTTAAAATGGAAAATATTACCTTTTGGACTTTTAGCCACTAGATTTTAATTTAAAATTCTATTTAATTCTTAAGTTTCAAAATCAGACTACATAATTCTTGAAAATAGTTATAAATATTTCAAGTTAAATAATGGTTGTTTGGAGGTAAAAATACCTTGGACACATGGAGGACGCTTATTGATGTTCAATGATTAAAATATCCGAGGTCCACCTCGAACCCGTCGAGGAGGTCTGGTTCGCCCATTGGAAAAAGGCTAAGTATACATGTCGAAGTTCGACCTAATTGGGGTTCGATTTGCTCGGAACCCGACAGATTCGACATGAGGAAAAGAACATGTAACCGCCGGTCGTAAGTACTGTCGGATCCACCACCTATAAATAGAGGGCCTCATTTCACGCTCAGGTATCGAATCTCACATCGAGCTAAATACTGAGTCCGACCTATACCGACTTGAGCGTCGGAGTGTTTACCCTCTTGTGCAGGTCGAGCCGGGGATCGGGTTCGAGCTCGATTCGTAAAACAGTGTTGTGCAGACCTTTGCATAAACATAATTGATCGAAAAAATAACTCTTGATTTAGCTGGATGGACAAAAGAAAGCGATAAATTTACTGCTTTTAAAGAGAGAAATATTATTTCTTTGGAGTTGTTGGAGTTTGATTGAAGAAGTATATTTATTGAGTATTTTGGATATGTAGTTCTTTTTGAGTAATGGGAAAAAGATTGATACAAATCCTAGTGAGTTTCGATTTTATTTCTTCTTAGATTTCAAAATCTTAAAATCTCAAAATTATAATCCAAATCTCAACATATTAAAAAACATAACTTACCCTTTAAAAATAAGTATCATAAGGTAACGAAAAAAATATTTATTCCCAAAGAAAGTTTTCTCACCTTTTTTCCGTAATTTTTTTAAATTTTTA